ATTGCTTTCCAGTCTGGCAATGCTGTTTCCTCCCTGAACTTTACAGTGTCTTCCTGTCTGAGCTTCTGAATAATAATCCATCATTAACCACTACTGAATGCCCTTTTGTTGGGAGAATCTAAGGGCTGGAGGAAAGCACCGTACGTGGGGTCTACATGCAATTTGAGCAGGAACCCATTTTGTACAGAATCAGTTCAGGGTTTTTGTACATATTTGAAAAATACAGACATGAAATTTTCTCTAAGAGATGTAGCTGCCTAGATTTATGCATGGCCTAGAACACAACAGTAAAATAAACAATTTGAAAACCCAAAGTGCCCTCATATGAATACAGACACAAATTGTGTGTGTGTGTGTTTGTGTGTGTGTGTGTGTGTGTGTGTGTGTGTGTGTGTGTGTGTGTGTGTGTGAATAACAGGATTTGGTATTAAAAATCAAGCCTGCACTATTCTACAAATGTCATGTGATTTTTTTTTTCCTGAGACAAAGTTTTTTGTTGAGAGAGTCAGAAAAGACACAACCTAATAGTAAAGACTATGGTCAACTTTGCTAAAAATTTTAGAGGGCCCAGGCTTCTGCAAGACCAGCGAGCACCCTGTGACCAGAATTCTAGTCCAGTGGCCTCATTCGTCAGTGCCGGGCCCATGTTTCAGCTCCAGTGTGCTCAGTGTTCTGTGAGAGTCTGGGGCGCTGGTTCTAGTGGTCTCTGAGGTTATTATGGGTGTAGAGTTTCTGAGGTGTCAGTGGTCACTTCAGGACCCATATTCATTCTAGATGGAGGTGCAAGGGAATATAGCCATTGCAGAAGTCAGTCCGGAGATTTCTCAGGAAATTAAAAATAGAACTACCTTATTTTACCCCGCTATTTCCCACCTGGGCACATAGCCAGAGAACTACATATCCTCCTGTAGAGATATTTGCACCCAGGTTTACCGCTGCTGTATGCACTATAGAAAACACCTGGAATCAGCCCAGTTGTCAGTCAACAGATGAATGGATAATGAAAATTTGGACTATCTATCTATCTATCTATCTATCTATCTATCTATCTATCTATCTATCTATCTATCTATCTCTGTGTGTGAATGAATATTATTTAGTGCTAAAGAAAAAATTTACAGGAATTTTCACAAAATTTTCAGGAAAATGAAATGGACTTAGAATGTATAATAATAAGCTAGATAATACATATCAGAAAGAAAAGAACACATGTGGAATCTAGTCAAATATATACATGTAAATATGCACATACATATGCGCATGTGGGTAGAGTCTAACATGTGGAAAAGAGGACAAGAAGAGAGGTGAATATTAGAGAGTGAGGAAGGACTAATGCAGGTGATGAACAGGAGCTATGGAGGGGATACGAGGTAAATGTTTTTCTAGTTCTGATTTTCTCATGGAATTTTTGGTTTTGGTAGTAGATAAGTGCATAAAAATGTTTTGACAGTGGAATATAAAATCCAGTATCAAGAAGCTTCACAGTGTCTATCCTGAATAGCTAGTCTAACTGTATTTACTGAATTATACAGTCCTTAGGTCTGCTTAATTTCAGTGTATGTTTTTTTTTTTTTTGCAAAACATTTTTGGTAATGAAGTTAATAAAACTTTAAAAAATACTTTTATGCAGTAAATCCAGAGAAGCAAAAGGCTCTCATAGGTAAAAGAGAAATTACTCTAAATTATAAAAACTCCTAGAATTAATAGGGAGATGACTTACAACTTTCAACTATAAATTGAGCAAAAGCCATGAATAGCTCCTAGTAAGGAAAAGCTGAAGCAGGTGAACAGCTGCCCAGCCTCACATCAGAGGAAGCATGCAAACCAACATTAAAGTGAAATTCCTCTCAGCAGTTGACGGGTTCAGAGCAGAGAAGACTTGGGGAAGCACAGCACACACTGCCGACAGACACACAGACAAGAGACCACTGCTTTAGACGGAGAGGAGCGTTAACAGTCACCACCGTTGATACTTGTTGACTCCTGAACCAGTTTCTCTCAGTTTGTGGTTTAGATATGGCTGTCACTGCATTAACACTTCTAATAGCGACATACTGAAGACAGCCCAAATGCCCAGGTTAGGCAGCAAGTGAAATCTGTGCAACAGAACACAATGTGGCATTCAGAGTCAGTGTAGCCACACTGACTTCACTGACAGATGCAGTGACATGTGTGACATGTAAATCCTAGAGTACAGACCAGTGAGAAAACAAGATACAACCGTTTATGTAGGAAAAATACAACATATACATACACATGTATATACATATATATGTGTGTGTATATATATATATATATATATATATATGTTCATAACTTGTTACATTTACACAACAGAAAGAAACACAAATAGCTACTGTATCAGAGAGGGAGCCTGGTGTCAGGGAGGGCAGTGGTTTCTGGGGAAGCTGGCAGATGGGAGATGGGGCAAGGAGAAAGCTTTGCACTATGGTATTGGTTCACTTCCAAAATGCTTAAGTTGACTCCATTAAAGGAAAGAGCCGAGGGGAGGGCTCAGTGGGTAGAAGCACTTGCCACCTAGACTGATGAGCCAAGTCCAGCCTCTGCAACCCACATGGTGGAAGGAGAGAGCAAATATGTGCAAGTTCCCCTCCGGTCTCCACATGTGCACCACGGCATGTACACACACACACACACACACACACACACACACACACACACACACACACTTTCAGTATTAAAGAAACATGCCCTTGTAGCTTTCCTTCTCCCCTTTCCGAATCTCTGTAGCCTTTGGAGGTGGGGAGCAGGGCAGGACAGGTGACCCCTAGACTGCTAGTGTCCTCTGGGATCCGTGTTTTCTTCCCTTGGAGTATAAGGGCTATGAAGTCAGAGACTAAGGTCCCTTGATGATCTGGTTGGGCACTGTGTGGAAGTCCTCAGGGCTCTGCCCCCCTCAATTTTTAATCTTGTCTCTTCTAGTCAAGCTTTACACCATCGACATGTGTTGTTCTTCTGGAATCCCAATATGACTATGTGTCTGCTGCAGAGCTTACACAGTAATTACTGTATCTACTCTAATTTATATATTTCTACCAGAGGAGTCTCATGAATAAGACTGGTTTTAAATATAGCATAACTTAGAGCAAGAGCTAAGTTTTGAATGCCAGATATGTACTGTGTGTTGTCCCTGGTCTGAAGTTCATAATCTGCTATGTTGATTTGGACTACATCATATACTTTCTAGAAACTCTTAAGTACTTGCATGTATTCTTGAGGAAAATAAGCTCCATTCACACCATTATAGACAAATTACCCCATATTTTCTAGTCTAGACATTTGGCAGGTGAAATTACTATATTAATTGGTCCTTTATGTATATAACTTTATTCATTTAAAACCTTGTTCGTTTGTTTGTTTGTTTTGAGTACTAGGACAGGGTTCTGCAGTGAGCTAAACTCCAGCCTCTCAACCTCTTCTATTTTATTTCTTGGGTCTTAAAATTGTATATCCTAACAAGATCACTAATCATAAGAGGCCATCACACTTATAAAGAGCTGTCTTATTGACTTAAACCCCATGAGGAATAAGTACACTGGTTTACTAGATGCTTTTTGCTTAATTAAAAAAATCAATTATAATAAGTTGCTGTGTTTCTAGAATTTTTTCCAAACATAGAACTCATTTATAATTTTCAGTAAAAGTACAAAAAGCCTTTGGGGCTTCTGAAAAAGATAAAAGAATTCTCAGCACACTGTACAATTTCAGGAAAAAATACGAAGAATAAAAATAGTTTCCCAACCCAGTCATTCTTTGAAATTGGTAATTTATTCCCGGAGTCTCCAAAGAGGGGAAAAGGCGGAGCAGAACACACTTGGCTCCCCTCAGTGAAATTACTCAGAGTTCTTCTCTGACAGGACAGCCACATCAGATCCTCTGTGAAATTCCTCTGGAAGCGCTATGGTAGATCTACATTTCATAAACCACATTTTGTAACTCAAAAAGAAAAACAAGAGAATTACTCTACTATAATTCATTTTCCTGAGTTTATTTAATTTCCAACTGCAAATCTTTCACCCCTTCAATAAAAATCAAGCACATATTGTCAGATTTTCTTGTCACTATTAAAACTGAAAGTTTCATGGCTGCCATCTACTGGTGAGTAAAAAGATGACAACTTATTTTTGAACTACTACATTTTCAAAGGCCTCCAGTTTAGAGGCCTAAATAATTTCCATTGAAATGTCAACTGCTACACAATTGGAGAAGCAGGACAATTTATATAATTTAACTCAAATTATCTGACCATATATTACTAGGATATATCAAGAAAGGAAAAATGTGAGTTTTCTTTTTTTTTTTTTTTTATAATTTACTACAATTTCTTAGTATTATTCAAAAGTAGTGATATGTTTAAATTGTGTTCAATTTAAATTTTGCTCCTGTGTGTGTGTGTGTGTGTGTGTGTGTGTGTGTGTGTGTGTGTGTGTTGATAGCGGTCTCTTCTTCAATTTCTCTCCACCTTTGTTTTTGAGACAGGGTCTCTCACTGAACCTGGAACTGACAGATTCATCTAGACTTAACTTGTCAGCATGTTCCCAGGAACCTGCCTATGGCTGTTTACCCAGGACCGGGATTATGGCACCAGCTACCACACCCAGCTTTTTTCATGGATGCTGGGAATCTGAACTCAGGTTCTTGTGCTGATGCAATAAATGCTTTGCCATCTCTCCAGCTAAATTTTGCTTTTATAAGCAGGGAGACACATCTAATGGATAAAGAAATTAATAGTTACTATAAGATCATTTAGACAAATCAAACATAGTTTATATGTGAAACTCTCTCATGGTGGATAGGCAGTGAACTCTGTTTAAAAAATGAATTGTGCAAATACAAGGACATCTCCATTAATACATAAAATATACAATGGCAAAGGTTTGTATAATGTTTCAAGGCTGTATGTTGCTTGAACATGGACATTTATATAGTCAGTTTTTACAGACCGGAAGCATTTAACATTGGCAATTAATGAAACATACCTGGCTTAAAATGTGGTAAAGAATGAACTCCAGGCCATGTGTCCTCATTTGGTGTTCCAAGAACCTAGTAGAGAACAGGAAATTGTGAAAACAGACATTATTTCCAAAGCACTCAAAATTTTCAAGTGCAGAAAACAGTAGACTGTATGGTATGGAACTCTGGATGTTTCCCTCATTATCATCCAGCCAGGATTTTCATTTCAATAAAAGCAACACTGGCTTCTAACAAATGCAGCTGAATGGGACACATTAAGTCTGCTATATTTTATCAAGCTCAAACTGAATAAGTAGGTGAAGAATCACACAGTACAGTCCTCCTCATGGAGCCGAATAAAGCGTCCCCTCACGACTCTGGTGAGGGACTGTTCTTCACTGCACTGGCACAGCGTGTCACTCCAGCTAAGGGAGTTCTGACGTTTCTTCCCCATGCCCTCTGTCTCAGCATCACGATGCTTCAAGGGCTCAGGAGTCACAGTTTAACGTGTTCGAATTCTCTCAGTGCACTTCAGTTTTCACCACTGTGATTTACAGTTTCTTCTCGTCGAAAGGGTCTTCCGCATGCGGGCTCCTTTTTCTGTTCGTATTTCTGTTTCTTCCTCACCTACTTTTGCTCTTGCCAAAGGAATTCAAGGACAGTTAGGGCTCCGACATTCCACTAAAGTGGTCAGTGCTCTTAATGGTCATGGCAACAAAACTCAGTAGCTCAGATCGAAAGTGTGGCGTTGAAGAGTTAAGAGCCGTGAAGACAAGCTCACTGGGTTTACATCCTTGCTGCTTTCCTCTCGTCACGGAAACTTGGGCAGAAAGGAGCCTCTTGGGGCTTCATTTTCCACATTTATAAACCAGAGAGTGATAAACGCTGTGTCATCTGTGTGGAGAATACTCCATGGCATTCAATAACTAAATAATATCAGATAAGTACCCATAGAAAACTGGATTGGCTCTGGGATGTGGCGGACTTGGAGACAGCATCCTTTTTGAATAGCAGGGGAGTCAGAGCCAGATGCTGCCATTCAAATGATCCTGGGCAAGCATAGACAGCCAGCAAGTTAGAGGGGTGAGACACAAGGCTGGAGAACTGTGAGGAAGGTAGAGGGCTGAGTACAACAGTGACAAGGAAGTCATACATCATGAGCGGGCACTACTAGGCAGAAGGCAATACAGAGCTGTGGTTACTGGTGCAGGGTTCCAGAGCTGCGTTGGCCAAGGGTGGCACACACAGTGAGTGTTTTACTCACATTTCCTGCTCTGGTGAGTCAGTATCAAGCACATGCATCATGTCCTCACTGAGATATTAAATCAGCACACAAGATGATAAAATTCTTCTTTGAAATCACAGTTGGTTAATTTTGAAAACACTAATAAAATAGATCTTGTCTTGGTCACTTTTCTATTGCTGTGAAAAGACACCATGATGAAGAGACTTACAGAAGACAGTGCTTATTTAGGGCTTACAGTTTGAGAGGCTAAGAGTCTGTGGCCATCATGGTAGAGACCATGGCAGCAGGCAGGAAGGCACGGTGCTGGAACAATAGCTGAGAGTTCACACTTTTACATACGCACGGGCAGAGGGACCTAACTGTGAAAAATTTATGGGCTTTGGAAACTCCAAAGCCCACCCCAAGTGATACACCTCCTCCAACAAGGCCACGCCTCCCAATCCTTCCCAAACAGTTCAACCAACTGGGGACCAAATATTCAAACATATGAGCCCATGGGTAACATTCTCATTCAAACCACCACAGAGTTATATAAACAAAGTTACATAATTGATGTGCTATGTGGAGAGAGGGAGGGAGACAGACAAGGTGGCCAGAAAGAAGAAAAACAAAGAACACTGAATAAAAAACTCTGGCAACAATGTCTCTGTGAAAGGCATTTTTCCAAGTTTTCAGGCATCACACACATACACAGAAACACACAGACACACATATACACACACACACACACACACACACACACACACACACACACACACACACACACACACATGGCTGTCTGGGATGATACTCCTCTTTGTTCTCACACTGGTTGGATTTTGCATGTAGGACAAAGTTCATCAACACTAACTTTAACTACTGAAGAGAGGCGCGTTCAACTAAAATTGTGCCATGGACACAGTCTGCAGCACATATGGGTCTCTGGAAGTTCTAGAAACAAAAGTTCAGCAGGGTCTACGTCTTGCTGAAGAATGACTACTGTCCTGGTGGCCTGATCAATGTTCCCATAATGCCTGTATCAGCAAAGCCTTTCCCTAGGCATCACCCTCATCCTCGTACAGTGCTCTGTTTCATGGAGAGATGTAAACAGTACAGCTTTCACAGGAAAGTTCACAGGACAGAAACACCACACGAGACTGTGCTTTGGTGATGGACTTGGCGATCAGGTCCTGGACTCCATTTCTTCTGTAGACACTCTTGGAACCTTTGCTCAGGAAATGCAAAGTGCGCACAACGTTCACAAAGGAAAGCGAGAATTAAAAATTAATTTTGTTTCCAGTAAAAGGCTTTTCAGAAGGGGCAGCGTGGGTTAAATGGATGACGGGCAAGGACAGGCATCTGTGTACTAGGGAAAGTGTGTGCCTTGTCTCTGGGCCAGATTTTCATTTGCACGAACTAATAAGCTCCAACGGCAAGAAGACATTTCAAAGTTAGCAAAAGAATATTGCCTAAAAGTCAGAAACAATCTTTTGTGAATAAAATAGGAAAAAGAAAATTGAATCTGTGCTATCAGAATTTGAGAGTCTTCACACACGTAAGTAAATGAGTTTATAGTGTGTGAAGCTCCTGCCGTCTTTAACTAACATGTCACAAGAGTTGAGAGGTCTTTTGTAACTTTTTCTTTTAGAGTTCTAATAAAATTTCCCACTTCCTTTTCCTCACTCCAAACCTGTTCATATACTTCTCCTTGCTCTCTTTCGAACTCAGTGTCTCTTTTTTCACTAAGTGTTGTTATGTCTCTCTGTGTGTGTGTGTGTGTGTGTGTGTGTGTGTGTGTGTGTGTGTATTCCTAAATACCTCAGTACTACATGCTCAGTCTGTATAACCTTAGTTACAGGTACGTTTTCAGGGCTTAACATCTAGAATCACAACAATGACCAGCATGTCAGGATAACCCTAATGGTTACACATGCCTTGGCAGCAACCACAGCTCTCTAATTGGATTTAAGACCCCCTGGAGAAGAAGGAATCATGCCTGGTGCTGGAAACTTAGATAACTACCCAGCTAGTGAAGTCTCAGATTTTGAGGGCAGAGCCTACAACCAACAGGTTAGTAAACCAGCACAATCCCTAACTACAATCTAAATATTTGTCCTTAGACACACAGAGGAGTGCAGTTCTCAACCCTGAACTCTTTGCAACAAACACACCATACAGAAAACTACAATCAATCAAAAGGCAGAGTTGTGGAGCACAATCCCAACCGTTATGTCTAAAATACATCTCCTACACTGAAGGCCCGGGGATCATTGCAGAAGAGGGATTGGAGAGACCCTAAGAGCCAGCGGGAACCGGGGAGTTTGCTGGGAGACTGTAATGTCAGAAACTACATCATGAAGTCTCACCAACATGACCATCTGAACATGAGCTCAACAAGGACAATAACAACAACAGACATGCTGAAGTGGATGGGGAAGCCCAGGAGGCCTCCACCCTACACAAAGAACTACAAGAAACTAAGCAACATTGAGAGGACAAACAGTCTCCACAGGGAAAGCGCACACCAACACGAAATGGTCAGCTCTGGGGTCTTTTACACATTCATGTATTTGGCTTCACTTTAAATCTGCCCAAGAAGCCTGTGTACCTCCCAGCTTCCCACAAAAGATGCAAAGCCTGGGACTCCCTTGGAAGCACCCTTGGCCTACTGAAGGAGGGAGGTGAACAGAGGAGAAATTAGCTTCCTTCAGAATGAGAAAGGGTCTCTACAGGACGTTGGGGTAGATGTGGGGGAGGGTTAAGAGCACAGAGGACACTATGCTTGCCTCCCCTGGGGAGGGGAAAAACTCAGTGCAGTAGAAGTTAGTGAGACAGGGAGTACTGAGTACTGAGTACCCAGGCAGTGCCAATAAGGCATGGGAGCACCAGCAGACAACAGCGGTAACAACTGCAGCGTTTCATTTCTCAAAGCTGCTGGGCTGCCCTCAGTGTGCTCTATTGGTGGTTCATTCCCGAAATGTCTGGCTCCCGCTTTGGCCAGCGGAACTCCCACCTCTGCTTCTAGCTTCAGCACTTGGGCCACCTTCGCCTGAGAGAGTCTCTGGACAATGTAGCTCAAGCGCCATGTTGCTTCTCTGTGACCCCAGAGCACTTCCTGCAGACTTCCACTTACAGAATACCCGGTGGTTGGCAGATGACTTGTTTTCCCACTGGACTGCAAGTCTCAGAGTAGAGACCATGTTTACCCTTAGAGTCCTAGTGCTCACCATGTGTCTAGTACTGGATATAGATTTGGAAAATGTTGAACTACTGACTGGATGGATAGATGGATGGATGGATAGATAGATGATGGATGATTAGATGGTGGAATGGATGGGTGGATAGATAAATGGATGGATAGATGATAGATGGTGGATGGATCGATGATGGATGATTGGGTGGAGGATGGATGGCTGGATCAATAAATGGAGAGATAGATGATAGATGGAAGGATGGATGATGGATGGATGGTGGATGGTGGATAGATGAATAGAAGATGGATAGACGATGGATGATGGATGTTGTATCTGGATGACATAATTAAGTTCTGACTGCAGGCTGGCCTCAGACTAAGATCAGGTAATAAGTCTTCCAAGGAGGTTGTATTTATCTGTTGCAGGGTTTTAGCACCCATTGTGAAAATGTAAATTTTAGGTAGAGAGTTGAAAGTCCCTCAAGGCAGGGTGCAAGTTCACCCACTACTTTCTGGGATGAATATAACACTTGCTGGTCAAATGGGGTAAACCAATAAACTAATAGTTAAATATATGCCAGCCATTATCCAAAGAGAAAGACAGTGAATATCAGAGAGTTATCAACAGTAAAACCTAACACTTTTGAAGCATATATTCAAGTTATAACTGTG